TGTTTCAGAGGTTAGTCCTCCACGCAGGGTCTCAGTTGATGCTGTGGGTCTGGAGAACATGACTGTGTGCTGGTGGCCTTCACTGGACGAGGAAGTTGATGAATATTACATCCAGCTCCACCCACAAACAAATCAAGCTCAAACTAGAGAATTCTGGGTAAATGGCTCCACCTGCATCTCTCTTACACAGCTCAAATCAGGTGGGACGTATGAAGTGGGAGTGGCTGCAGTGAAGGGCAGAAACATGAGCAAAGTGACAACCATACAACAGACTCTAAGTATGATTCATTTCTGTTTTTATCTTCCATTTCCGCCACGATGCTTCTTTTTCAGTCTACAAATTGTATTTTCGATTCTTCTTTCAGAACCTGATAGCATTCAGGTTGCTGTCCCATACACAGTTGGTATACACTCTGTGGAGGTCTTTGTGCAGATGCCCAGAAACAGCATTTATGACGGCATCACCATTACTTACCAGAATAATCGATCCTGGACGCCAGTGTCCAAAGACAGCACCAAACTTTTAGTCGACAAGCTGAGTCCAGGAGCGCAGTATGACTTTAATGTGTTTGTGACCAGCAGAGACACGAGCAGTGAAGGCTTTGCTCTTCCACCTGTGAGAACCTGTGAGAAACTTTTACTTTTATTGCTGAAAAAGTACAATGCTGGTCAAAAGTCTGAAATATTTTGGAAGGTTTTTGAAAAATGTCTCTTATTCTCACCATGTCTGCATGTATTTGACTAAAAATACAGTAAAAACAGCAATATTGTGAAATATTATTACAATTTAAAGGTACTATTTTGTAATTTAATATATTTTAAAAAGTAATTTATTCCTATGATGCAAAGCTGAATTTTCAGCATCATTACATCATGAAATATTACATCAAAAATATTAAGCAGCACAGCTGTTTTCAACATTGATAATAATAATAAATGTTTATTGAGCATCAAATCAGCATGTTAGAAGGATTTCTGAAGGATCATATGACACTGAAGACTGGAGTAATAATGCTGAAAATTCAGCATAATTACTCCAGTCTTAAAATAAAATAAAATAAATATTCTAATAGAAACCATTTATTTTATTTATTTCATAATGTTACTGTTTTACTGTATTTTTGATCAAATAAATGCAGTCTTCTGAGCATAAGAGATGTTTTTTAAAAACATTAAAACATTCTTATGATTCCAAACCTTTAACCAGTGGTCTATGGTCAATCGGAATATTAGCATACCGATTGCATTGTCAATTTTTCATTGACTGTATGCTGTATGTTAAAAAATAAATAAATCCAAATTAACCATACATTGTCATATGATCTCATTACTTTACTTATTAATTGCAGCAAATTGAGTTCAGATGTAATCTTAAAAATGAAAACTATTTTGCATTTCAGCCTAATTTTGCACAATGTGCATATTCAAGTATGTTATTCCGAACACAGTCGAACACAGTCCCTGGAACTCAACTAGCTTAGTACTGATTTTGTTTGAATTTGTTTATTTATTGACAGGTTTGGCTCCTCCCACTCATGTGCGTGCTGGTGTTGTGACTGACAGCTCTATAGAGCTCCTGTGGGACGGGGCTGAGGGGGGCAGCCATCATTATGAGGCGCTGAGTATGAACTGTGCTGATTCTGTCATGGTACGATCCTGTGTGTGAGTACACATCGTGTGTATGATGTCTGCGTTTCTTCTTTTACATATTTTTACATTTAACATTTGATGAAAGAAGTACATTTCCTGATCCCATTCCACTATCAGTGGGATCACCAACATCATTTTTATGAAACTGAAGTGAAACTGTACACAGAAGATTTTGAAGTCAATATTTTATGCTGTCCTTAAATAATAGATACCCAAAGAAGGGGATAGTTTGTTTACTAATTTGACGTGTGTGTCTTTGTAGGTGCAGAAGGTAGTCGACACTAGGGCAATTTTTAAAGACGTGATTGCAGGAAAGCTATGCAACTTTTCAGTCCGAGCCGAGAAGGAGTTTTTCAGAGACAGTCTGGCTGTGATTAACATTATGGTACTAAACTCACTGTCTCACACAAATCCACACATTAGCTCTATTCCAAAACTTAGTGCCTTGCTATACTGCCTACATAGACAGCTTCCCTCCAAAGCAGCATGCTAGTTGAAATCGAACCTTATAAATGACTCATTTGGAACACTCCTCTGGGGTAGCAACTCCATTAGCATCTACTTATATACACCAAAAAAATAGAGCTCTTCATGTGAAGCCAATTCAGCTGAGTTGAATGTTAGCATGCCACTAAACTAACTTGATACTACGGTAAACATAAAAATACATTCAAATATTGAGTAAAATAATCCATTTTAATTTCCCTGATCTGTTTATTAATAATTTTAGCTATTGAATAAAATGTTTTTAATCGTCACAATGTTTTTAAAAGAAGTCTCTTATGCTTGCCAAAGCTGAATTTATTTGATAAAAAATACAGCAAAAACTGTAATATTGTAAAATATTATTACAATTTAAAATAACTTATAATTTCCTTCAGAAATTCTAAATAATTATTTGTGAAGGATCATGTGACACTGAAGACTGGAGTAATGATGCTGAAAATTCAGCTTTGCATCACAAAAATAAATTATATTTGAAAGTGTATTAAAATAGAAACCATTATTTTATATTGTAATAACATTTTGCAAGATTACTGTTTTTTTCTGTATTTTTATCAAATAAATGCAGCCTCGATGAGCATAAGAGACTTCTTTAAGAAAATTCAGCTTTGCATCACAGAAATAAATTATATTTGAAAGTGTATTAAAATAGAAACCATTATTTTATATTGTAATAACATTTTGCAAGATTACTGTTTTTTCTGTATTTTTATCAAATAAATGCAGCCTCGATGAGCATAAGAGACTTCTTTAAAAAAACATTACAAGTCTTACTGATCCCAAACTTTTGCCCGGTAGTGTATCTCTAGTATATTCTCAATTACTGTGATGGCAAAGCTGAATTTTCAGCATCATTACTCCAGTCTTTAATAACATTTTTATTATCAGTGTTGAAAACCGTTGTGCTGCTTAATATTAACAAACAGCATGTATTTGAAGTATACTGTCACTTTAGATCAATTAAATGCATCCTTGCTGAATAAAAGTATTAATTAAAAAAATCTACATTTCTGTCATCTGCCATCTTGCATTTTTTTTCCTCTAAGCTTATTGCAATGCATTCTGGGATTGGGTTCCCTTTGAAAGATATGTGCAATGTTTTACTTGAATTGACCGTTAGATAAAATATAGAGACATGATGATGGACAGTTTTAATTTAGGACCATGTTAAAGACAAATGTCCTGACATCTTATTTATTTAATATTATTCTGTGTGATTTTGGAACAGTCTGAGATATGACTTAAATGCCGTCTATGTAGGCAGCTCACTAGAATTTGGAACAGAGCTGTAAACACACACATGTTCTCAAAATGGTCTTTTTTTGTACTTCAGTTCCAGAACCTCCTGACGACCTCACTTTCATTGAACAGGAAGTGAGCAGCATGTATGTGATGTGGACACACCCACCGGGCAACGTGGATGGTTACAGGGTAGGGTGACTTTTTATTTATCCAATCAGCATCCAGATCCACATACTGTAGGCATTTGGTCATTGCATATGATAGTGTATTTTAACATTAGATTTTTACTTGTTTGTTTACTTGATTTAGCAATTGAATAGAAATGAATTGAAGCGGTTATGTGGAATGAGTTATTAGACGTTTGTGTGTATTGTAAGCATGACTAGACTAGTATCAGGGCCTTTGGACACCTGTTAAAACTTTCATACTGGCCGTCTCAGCTGAAATGTAGCCTAGCAACACCCCCGTGTGCTCGGGTTTCTGCCTTTCTCATAATACATGAGCGCCAGTCCTTCATTATGCCTTACAAACAGAAGGAAGGTATTTGAGTGTATGATGTAAAGATGCTTTTTGTGCAATGCGAATTCCAAGGGCAATGGTAATGATCTTCCCACTTCCATTGTCACCCCTATTTTAGATTGGCCTTGCCAGCATCTCAGATGTTTATTGACTGATCTATTAACACTGTTTTTTTATATTTGTTTGTCATTTTATTTAAACTACTATTCAAAGGTTTGGGGTTTGTAAGATTTGTTCATGTTTTTTAAAAAAGCCATCTCTTATGCTCACCAAAGCTGTTCAAAAAATACAGTAAAAACAGAAATATTATTACAGTTTAAAATAACTATTTCCTATTTGAATATATTTTAAATATAATTTATTTCTGTGATGCAAAGCTGAATTTTCAGCATCATTACTCCAGTCTTCAGTGTCACATGATCCTTCAGAAATCATTCTAATATGCTGATTTGCTGCTCAAGAATAATTTCTTATTATTATCAGTGTTGAAAACAGTCATGCTGCTTCATATTTTTGTGCAAACCATGATACTTTATTTCCGGATTCTTTGATGAATAGAAAATTCAAAACAGTATTTTTTATACTTTGCTGTCACTTCTGGTCAATTAAATGCATTCTTGCTTATTTTATTTCTATTGCTTTCTTCTCATTCAATCCTCTTTAGCTTCAATATGGCTTTGCGGGTGACCTCCCTCTGCAGCACCAGGTTGATCTTCATGGCAACAGTGTCAAGATTCATGACCTGACCCCAGGAAGTGATTACAGGTTTGAGATCCAGTCCTTCCTGGGGTCAGATTTCAGCCAGACCACATCCCAAAACATCTCTACTAGTAAGAATCTCCCAGTCAATATGTCTGAAGCAGTGGCCCTTGATTCTGTTCTTAGTGATGCTTTCTACTTTTGGTATCATTTAGAAATACAGATAAAACACATATTAACAATTAAGGTCATGCTTGATGTTTTTCTAAACTAATTTTTTTATTCCAGGGCCAGCAGGTGTATGTTCACTCTCTGTGTCTCACGTCAATGGGACGTCGGCCACAGTGTCATGGAAACCAGCCACTGGTCATTTTGATTTTTATAGAATGGCGGTCAGTAACATCTCTCATATCTGGACATTAGATGTGAGTCCACACTCGCAGGAGGTCACTGTCAGCAGCCTGTGGAACGGATGCTCCTACAACATCACTGTTCAACGCTTCAGAAACAACATCAGTGGAACCGCCGCCACAATCACCATACGTACAGGTTTGACTGTTACCCACAATACACTTTGCACAACTGAAGGTACTAGTTCCTGTGAAACTGTTTTAAGACCGTTTGTATTGTCAATTAACGCTTGCATTGAACCAAGCATTGAACCAAACTGAATTGCACAGAACTGATTCTCATTGCATTGAATTGAACAAAGCCTAATTGAATTTAACTGAACTGAACTGTATTGCACCAAACTGAACCTTAACTGTAAATGAAATTTAAATTCAGTAAATTGAACCAGGGTTATTTTAGTATAATTGATATACTATTATAGTTGTGTTCATATTTTTAATTAGATTTTTTTTTTTTTAGTTTTCACTTACATTTTTGTGAAAGTTTACCTATTTTATTGTCTTTTTTTAGTTTATTTAGTTTTAGTTGTTTTAAACTAAATGAAAATGAGAAAAAAAGCTTAAATAAAATACGTTTAAGGGTTTATATATTGTATTTAAAATAACGAAAATGTTTTTTTTTTAAATAGTTTTAGTTTTACTTAACGATAATAACACTGAATTGAACTGCACTTAACTGAAATGAATTATTCAGTTAATTGGTTAAGTTTGGTTTGGTTCAACTGCATTGAATTGAACTGAGACTAATCTGAGCTGAATCAAATTGAATTGAACCCAACTGAAATGAATCAAATTTAACAGTTAATTAACAATTTTCTAATTACTTTTGCATATTATCAACATTTCATTGTTGATCGTTTTTATTTTGTTCTATTCTAACATTTTTACTGTTTCATTTTAATCTGGTTTAGTGTCATTTGCATTGCTTGTATTGTGTGTCACTTGCTTGTTTACACTTGTAAAGCACTTTGAACTGCATTAAATTTGTTTAAAAGGTGCAATATGAATAATGTTTGGTTGAGTGATTGAGTGAAACTGAACCGAACTGAACTAACTTTAATTTGTACTGAACTGAATTATATTTTTAGCAAATGTCTGCCTATAAATTATACTGTCTGCATGCATTTGCATGTTTTTGTTTATAGTGAAAAACCAAAATCTGTGTGTTTCAGTCCCTGCCAGTCCTGAGGGGTTGCGAGTGATAAGCGTGTCACCTCGTGCTTTCTCACTCCACTGGTTGGCATCACCTGGATGTGATAAGAACTACATGGTCCAACTGCATCCTGACCACGGCAATATCAACATCACCACCACAGAAGATAGCGGAGTGCAGGTACACACTCACACTCAAACACACCCTGAGTCACTGCTCTCCCGCAGCCATATGCCAGGTGTCAGGTAGAAGAGTATCTGTGTCAGCTGGGCGGAGTGTGTGGAGGAAGGTTGGAGAACAAGGGAGAGAGTGAAAGAGAGAGAGAAGACCATTAATGATAGGTTTAACAGTGGTGGAGGGACTAGTTTGTTTCTGATCACTCACATACCACCGGTTAGTTAGCCCGTTCACCCATCCAGCAGCTCTCTCTTTAGTGAGGGGCCATCATGCCATCCTGTCTGCCCCTGCTGGTTATCCTGTACGCGGGCCTCTGTAACATTCAGGTAGGCTTTAATTGCATATTTGCATTGCATGGGTTTTGCATTACATGACATGCATCACACAAGCTTTTTAACCATGGACCAAATTAAATAGTCAAGTTGTGCCATTCACAATTGTATTGAAATTGAATTATTTATTTACTTCAAAAAAAAATTTTTTTACAACATCATTTCATATTTAATTTCAATACAATTCTGAGATTCAATTCAGAATTGTATTGAAACTGAATTTGAGATGATGTATGTTGTAAAAAAATATTAAATAAAACAATGATTATTGGAGTACATTTTACAAGAAAATGCTATTTTAGCTATTCTAACCTTAGAATTTCACATTTAATTCACTGTGTTACTTGCCATTTCTTTGTTATTATTTGTAAAATGTACTAGCATTTTTGAGTTAAATTTGTTTCAAAGTAAATCCTACTCTGTTTTCCAGTGTAGCAAACAGAAATGTTTAAAGAAATAAATTAAAATGGATGGTTGTAATCAATCAAATGCCACCTGTAGACTTTTTTATGTATATTTGATTATATTTACTAAATTGAACTTATACTAACATAAAAAAGAGACTCATTTCCCAGAATGTAATTTACCCCAAAGTCTTTAAAATGGAGCATTTTATTTTATTATTATTATATATATTTTTTTATATTATACTTTGAATTGCAATTCTGTAAATAAATTCATCTTCCTGTCATTCTTATTGAAATTCCAGTTGAACATCTACCTGGGTGTTTCAAATGAAATTCAAATAAATTTCAACTACATAAAATGATTTCAAATGAAAATTTCAACTCGGGAACTTAAAGGGTGACAATTTTGTAATTTTCTGCAACCCTGCGAGACTGATTTATTCCCCTAAAACACACAGACTGTGTTCTGTTAGAGACACAGGTGTGAGCTGGTGAGATGGTGAGACGCCACACGACCTTAGAGGAATTTTTGAACTGGCTTGCGTTTCTTAGAATGAAGGAACACGACAATACTGGCACACAAACAAAGACTTGAGTGTGTGATAAATATCACTGTGCATTGACTGGTTTGTGCAGGACTGTGTGTTTGGAAAGCATTGCCATTTGACATTTTATTCTCTGAGGTATTCATTTGTAGGGCATTCATAAACGTTACCATCACCAATCAAAATTTCTTTTTAAATTTAGATGCTTTATGCAAATTTTCGACATTATTTTCCATTTACGGTACACCTGTGTGAACTTGACAGTAACTTTCTTTGAGATCTTGGGACCAGCTCGTTAAATTGAAAAATGGTCCAGAAATTTAGTTTTGAGAAAAGCTCTTGGTATCTGTCTCGGTATAAACTTGGTTTATATGGTTGATATTTTGCAGTGAAATTCATAGAAGTATGGCTTATGCATATATACTGGTTATGTAATGCATGTATGCATGAATTAGGTTTTTCAGTCTTATCTTGTTTTACTGGTGTTGTCAGGCTATTTTATACTCAGATCTTAAAAGACTATTGTCTTTCTGGAACAAGTGGTGTGACATCACGTACGGTAATTTAGCCTGCCGCTGTTGCATTACTCAACCAACCTTGCGTTTGTGAACATGTGACAGAAAACGTCAAGAGATGCTTTTGTTCTATGATATTTATGAACAAATGATTTCTGATGAAACTATTGCCAATACTCCATATCATTTGAAGTGCATGCTAACTCCAGAAGATTTGTTTGCAAAAAGTGTGTCTGTGGGAGTGTCTGAGGTGCTTGTATTATTAATGGTATCTAGATGTTTTTGAAGGCAGTTTGATGCATGATGGTATTTTGAGGGAATATTGCGACGTGTTTGATTAATGTGAGTCATTGTCTTCAGTTAGGCATAGCCAGTGCTCTTTGAATCACATTCATATATCTGATCACATTCAATTTGTGGTTTGCTGATTATCTTGTGCTGACATTTTGATTTTACCTGAGGTTTATTGTAGCGTATATTATGCTTTGGCCTTCTCAGAAGGGACATGACTTAGCAAGCTTTGTCATGCACTGAAAATGAGCCTTTACTGACTATATTTGAAAAATTCTACTCCATTCAATAACAATAAGTCAAAATAAGCTTTTTTTTTCTTGAAAACAACCATTTTTTTAAAACCCTGAACTTTAAGGTGCAAAACAACACCTTCAACAAAACACATAACAACAAAACATAAGATTTTATCATTATGCAGGTCAATTGCATATTTGTTTGGCATGGGGTTTGTGTTACATGACATGCATATAAATACAAATACCAAATGAAATACTTAAGATTAGCAGAGTTGTGTGCCATTTAGAATTGCTTTTAGAGTTAAAATGGAATATTGTAATCAATGTTTGAGATGTCACCTATTAATTTTTTATAGATTTAATATATCCTATCATAAAAGTTTATTGTAAATATTTATTAACATTTGTACATTATTGCTAATCAGACTTTTTTCACAAATGAAGCATTAACACCAATGAATCTTCTAAGATGTTGTCATTATCACTTCAAAATGTGACAGATTTAAATATTTAACAAAATATCTGCAAACCAATACAGTGCCATTTCCTATGATCTAATATATGTGACCCTGGACCACAAAAGCAGTCTTAAGTCGCTTGGGTATATTTTTAGCAATAGCCAAAAAAACATTGTATGGGTCAAAATTATCGATTTTTTTTAATGCCAAAAATCATTAGGATATGAAGTAAAAATCATGTTCCATGAAGATATTTTGTACATTTTCTACCATAAATATATCAAAACTTAATTTTTGATTAGTAATATGCATTGCTAAGAACTTCATTTGGACAACTTTAAAGTCGATTTTCTCAATATTTAGTTTTTTTGCACCCTCAGATTCCAGATTTCCTAATATTGTCCTATCCTAACAAAACATACATCAATGGAAAGCTTATTTATTCAGCTTTCATATGATGTATAAATCTCAATTTTTAAAAATTTACCCTTATGACTGGTTTTGTAGTCCAGGGTCACATATAAAGTTGTTATAGAAAAATGTATGGAATTATGCCTTTTAAAATGTTTCGTATCTGTCACCATGTTATGTTGGTTGTAGATGTGTAACTTGTATATGTATTGTGTATATTCTATGTGTTAGGCTCAAGTGTCCAATGTAACCTCTGGAACATCATACACTGTGACGGTCAATGCGGTGGCCTCGTCAGGGTTCAGCTCACCTGTCAGCCGAATACTCGTCACCACTACTGAATCCTGTAAGTCTGTGTGTTCCGTTCTTAAACCACTATTCCCTGATATATATTCCTCTAGACTTCCTCCTGAGATTTTTAGCGGTTTTTGCTTATGTTGTACACATACAACACTCTTTAAAATAAAGGCTCCAAAAGGGGGTTTTCACAGTGTTGCCATAGAAGAACCATTACGGTCCCCAAATCACCTTTCAGTGAGCAGTTCTAAAAAGAACCATTTTTTCTTAGTGTGAAGAACATTCGAATAATCTAAAGAATGTTTTTTCCACTATAAAGAGCAATCGAAAGATTCCATGGATATTAAAAGTTCTAGAAAATGTTATGCTATAATAGTTTTCTTTTCAGTACCATGCAAATACCATGGTACATGAATACAACAATCATGCAGTACTGCTACTGTATACATAAAAGCACCATCTGATATCATCTCTGTACTACTGTATTGTTTTGCAAGCATAGAACCAGTGACGAAAATTGAAAGACGAAACCCTTTGAGATGTTGTACATGAATCCAAATGCATTTTGTTCCATTTGAAATGTGTGTGTGTGTGTGTATATTTATGTTTGCATAATTGATGCTGATTCCAGTTAGCAGGCTTTGATAGGTCGGTATCAGATTCCCAGGGTGCTGTTTGCCCGTCTCTCTGAGAATGGCATGGTCGGGTCACGCTTTCTGGTGGCTTTATATTGTTCTTCTCCTCAATGGCTAACACCTCCACAACAACGGAGAGCTGTTAGCAAGCCAAACGCCTTCTGAAAGACCTCTAAATTTGATAATGACCTGGATGATACTAAATCTAGGTCAGAGCAACAATATCCGTTCTGCTTCATTGCAGAAGAATGGCAATATAATAAATGCAAGAAGTGACAATGAATTCAAATGAATTGTGTGTAAAACTACAGAAAATAATTGCTGTAATTAAGCAATTAGATTTAAGTATTCAATAGAGCTGACATAGTCAAGTAGGATAACATACTGAATGCATTAAAAAAATGCTTAAATTAATTAATTATTTGTGTTTTATCTATGTGTATGCAGTACCTGCGGCCCCCTCTAAGCCAGAAGGTGAGCGGGTCGGTTCCAATGGGATCCTGCTGTCCTGGCGGATGCCAGTGCCTCTCGACCCCTCAATTCACTCATTTGTCATCAGATACAAGGAAATGTGTCCATATCCCGACCCTACCTTCACTGAGGTCACCAAGAGCCTGGATATCCCAGAAACCCTGCTGAATACACTCACCCCTGGAGCTACATACAACATCAAGGTGCACGCTTGAGGCTTCACACATTTCAGTTGTTTATTTGATAGCAAAAATGAGAGAAAAGCTAAAAAAATACATAAGTTTTTATGTACACAAATCTGTGCCCACAGCATAGATTTTCAGATATCATAGGAACAGAATATCAAGCTTCCTAGAGGGTGTGCATAACACATTTGACTACAATATGTTTTTATGGAAATGTTTTTAGGAAAACGTGAAAAGGACCTAAAGTATAATAACTTTCGCAAAGCTGCATCATATTACATTGGAACTATTATGAATTACCGTTTGAAAAATTGGAATTAAGATTTTTGTAATGTTTTTGAAAGAAGTCTCATATGCTCAGCAAGTCTGTGTTTATTTGATCAAAAGTACAGTAAAAACAGTAATATTGTGAAATACGATAACAATTTCAAAGAATTGTTTTTTATTTGAATATATTTGAATATGTAATTTATTCCTGTGATGGCAAAGCTGAATTTTCAGTCTTCAGTGTCACATGATCTTTCAGGAATCATTCTAATAGGCTGATTTACTGCTCAAGAAACATTTCTTATAATTATCAACGTTAAAAACAGTTGTGTGGCCTAATATTTTTGTGGAAACTGTGTTTTTTTCAGGATTCTTTGATGAATGGGAAGTTCAAAAGAAAAGCATTTTTGTATATAATATAAATCCTCTGTAACATTATAAAGGTCTTTACTGTCACTTCTGATCGATATAATGCATCCTTGCTGAATAAAAGTATATATTTCTTGCAAAAAAACATTTAATGTAATTAATTAACTGACCCCAAGTTTTTGAATGGTAGTGTATATTTAAAACAACAGAACTACAAATGCACAAAAGCTATAAAGTAATAAAATGATAATGTCAGCGAGCATGGTTGTAATAAGGATAGTTTTGCTCAAGGAGAAAAACACTTGAGGTTGAAACACTTGAAGTGAAAAGATACTTCGGTGGATAGTTTAAAAATGCCACAAAAAAGCATCCTCAAAATGTGCTTTTAATCATGGCAGGTCTGCCTCATTGAATACTTGTAACCTGCTATGAAGAGCACAAAACCCAGACTGAGCAGGATTCTTTGATGAATGGGAAGTTCTAAAGAAAAGCATTTTTGTATATAATATAAATCCTCTGTAACATTATAAAGGTCTTTACTGTCACTTCTGATCGATATAATGCATCCTTGCTGAATAAAAGTATATATTTCTTGCAAAAAAACGATTAATGTAATTAATTAACTGACCCCAAGTTTTTGAATGGTAGTGTATATTTAAAACAACAGAACTACAAATGCACAAAAGCTATAAAGTAATAAAATGATAATGTCAGCGAGCATGGTTGTAATAAGGATAGTTTTGCTCAAGGAGAAAAACACTTGAGGTTGAAACACTTGAAGTGAAAAGATACTTCGGTGGATAGTTTAAAAATGCCACAAAAAAGCATCCTCAAAATGTGCTTTTAATCATGGCAGGTCTGCCTCATTGAATACTTGTAACCTGCTATGAAGAGCACAAAACCCAGACTGAGTGAACATGGGTTTTCTCATAATATGCTCATATTACAGGGCAGATGTGTCCTAGTACACACTATTAACAAATTCAGATGTGACGTCATGAGAAATGCGCTTCTTAAAGACTCCCAGTGAAAAATTCTAGAGATTTCCGATTTCTTTCCAACTCTAAAGAACTCCAGGCTTCTTATTGAGGAATGGTGCAATATCACACAGTTCAAGAGCTGAACTACATTATTGCCCAAAGAACCGAAGCTCTTCTAAAGGCAAAAACATGACCTGCTCCTTATTAAGTGAATGGAAATTAACGCATTTATATATGTTACTGATATTATATCCAGCCCATGTGTATCTGAGATGTTAGATTCTCCTGTATTTCCCTTTTAAGTGTTTTGCGGTGGTCATTGTGGTGTATTGTTGTGTCACCTCTAATGAAACAGCAGCCAGTAAAAACTTTTCTGAAAATGCTTTTTAACTCTGTAGGGAAGGTCCAGCGTTCAGCAGACACTACTGGATTAACTGTCCACGGGAAAGTTGCCAGTGGCCTCTATTCCATTGATCCCACTCAATAATTTATCAGCTGTGAATTATTCATCTCCTACAGAGAACTCTGGATCCACGAGGGATCTCTGTTTTCCCTCATTTGTCTCGTGAATTCATTGGCTGGGTACACCGTGAACTCTGAATTGACTCTCTGAGCTTTTGTGTGAGCGTGTGTTTGTACATGTGACAGTATTTGATGGATCTGTTGTCTGGAGTAGATCATCTTGCATTGGAATCTTCATTCACAGTGTTTATATAACCACCTCTGCTAAGTCATGGTGATAAATCAAGCAGACGCTCTTATGCTGCGTGCGTTTGGCTACAGTATATTGCTTTTTAAAAGCTTTTCTTCTGTCTTTTCTCTACAGGTTGCAGCAGTAAACAAAGCAGGAATTGGACCTTTTAGCCAGTCTCTGTACTACAAAACTGCAGAGGCCCGTAAGCAATATCTATATATTTAACATAAGCTTTTTGCAAAGTCCTAGTGAGCCTCTTTGCTGTCTTCAAAGGCAGCATCTTGAGTAACTGATTGAAAATGCTCTTCATGGACAGCAACTTTGTTAATGGTCACTCACTCATGTGTAAAACATGAATAGCACTCTTCCTATGAAGCGCATTTTGATATGCTAATAACCACAGAAATACACAAAACTCACCAGTTTTGGGTGAAATTGTACATTTGAATTAAATGGAACATTTTTAGTAAAAAATTAAATATATTTTATAATTGACATTTCCCTCAATTTTGATGTAATCCTCATAAAAATATTCTCTGAACTCACCACGATGAATTGTGGTATTTGTCACAAAAATATTAAGCAAGAAGTCCTAGTGAGCCTCTTTGCTGTCTTCAAAGGCAGCATCTTGAGTAACTGATTGAAAATGCTCTTCATGGACAGCAACTTTGTTAATGGTCACTCACTCATGTGTAAAACATGAATAGCACTCTTCCTATGAAGCGCATTTTGATACGCTAATAACCACAGAAATACACAAAACTCACCAGTTTTGGGTGAAATTGTACATTTGAATTAAATGGAACATTTTTAGTAAAAAATTAAATATATTTTATAATTGACATTTCCCTCAATTTTGATGTAATCCTCATAAAAATATTCTCTGAACTCACCACGATGAATTGTGGTATTTGTCACAAAAATATTAAGCAACTGTTTTCAACAGTGATAATAAGAAATGCTTCTTGAGCAGCAAATCATCGTATTAGAATTTCTGAAGGATCATGTGACACTAAAAACTGGAGTAACGATGCTGAAAATTCAGCTTTGATCACATGAATAAATTACTAAAAAAACTTTATTAAATTGTAATAATATTTCACAATATTACTGTTTTTACTGTATGTCTGATTAAATAAATGCAGCCTTGGTGAGCATTAGAGACATTCAAAAACATTCAAAAATCTTACCGACCCCAAATTTCTGAATGGTAGGGTATATGTTAGCAAAGATTTTCTGCATATGTTGCCTAAAAGTGATGCCTGCTGTAAGTGGGGATGTATGTATTGTATGAAAATACATTGTATGATTAGTGTGTGTGTATGTGTTCTGATCAATCTCGCAGCCCCTGGTCTGGTGTCAAACCTCACAGCGTTTGCTGAGGATCACACGTCAGTGTTAGTGACATGGTTTCTCCCCGTACGCATTAATGGTCTCATCACTAAGTTTGCAGTAAAAGTCAAACATGCTCGAACAGGCCAGACCGTCCGTATGCTGGAGCTCAACGCTGAGGACATCATGAACGGAGCCCTGCCTCACTGCAACGTACGTTTGTACTTGCATTAATGAATATTTGAAGTGATACAGGACAGCTGAGCCAAATTCAAATCGCAGTGGTATATGCATCGATCTACCAATCTTTACAATTAGTTTCGGAGTGTTTATGTGCATGCATGTGTCTTCTAGGATGCAGCAGACATCTTATCTCGTGGAACTCCAAGCCCGTCTGAGTCTTCCCAGTTGACCTCTGCTGTGTTGCCCACTGCTACGCTCTCAGCCGTACCTCCCGCCGTCATCTGGAGTGTTCCAATTAGTGTGAAGATTGATGAGCTCCGCCCCTACACTCCCTACGTGTTTGAAGTCTCCGCCTTCACCAGTGATGGGGAGGGACAGATCGCCAGCACTATGGTCCGCATGCCAGAGGCTGGTATGCTATCACACATACACACTCTTCATTCTCAAATACTGTATATCTACACTACTGTTCACTAGTTTATCAGTAAGACTTTACTGTATGTATAATGCATTATAAAGGTATTCATAGTGTATGTTGTAATTCATTATATCTTTTCATAAATAATTGTAACCAAAATTAAAGTGCATTATGCATCAGATTCTTTGTTATATCTGAAATGGGTTGTTTGTGATGTGTTTTAATGCATTATACTTTCTAAAGGTGTAAAAATAAATGGATAAGTATTATAACTGTGGTTACAATTATTTATGAGATCATACAATGCATTATAAGGTGCATTAAGGCATAATTAATGCATTATATACTACTGTTATAATACTTTTATGATGCATTATGTTTAAAGGCTTCTAGTAAAGTGGTTTTTACTGATTTTTTTTTTGGAAAGAAATTAATGCTTTTATTAAATGGATCAGAAGTTCTATAAAAATATATTAGAATTAGCATATATTAGCATATTAGAACGATTCTAAAGGATCGTGTGACACTAAAGATTGGACTAATGGCTGCTAAACATTCAGCTTTGCATCACAGAAATAAATTACATTTTAAAATGAATAAAAAAAACAAAGCAGTTATTTTAAATTGTATACAATTTTATAAAAATGATGTACGTAGAAAATCCTGTTATTGCACGATTATTTAATACATGTTGCAAATGTGTTTTCATAATTTTTTATAATAATATCTGGAATTATAGCAATAGGACACATATCTTATTTTAATAATCACAATTTTCACTGTAATACATGATCTCAAGTTTTCAAAAAATTACTATAGATAGTAAAGAAACAACCTATGAAAAGTTATATGCACCCTGATTTTGTCTTTCATTGAGTTTAATTTTCAGTTGATATTTCAAACCTTTAGACATGACATAATGTTAGATAAAGTGAACCTGAGTCAGTATAGCATATACTTCAGCTGATTTTATTCAATGAAGACTGTCAAATAATAATTAAGTTAAATAAAACCCACATTCCCTGTATGAAAATATTATTGCCTCATACACAATAACCAGCTAAACCACATTTAGCTGTGCTGACTGGAACATAAAGAAGCACTGAATCACTTTAGATACTACTGATGTGCAATTGCTTTTTTCTTTCTTTCTGCATGACCCAGCTACACTTTAGTTGTGGTTCATGGATGAATTGCCACAAATGTATATTCTGCTACAGTGGAGAATTAATGGTTCACTTGACCTCCACCATGATTGATCGTTGGTGTCATGTGTTTTCTTAAACTGTGTCTGCTTGTGTATGCTTGATAGTGACATATTGGGAGCCATGTCATACAAAACAATTCAATTTTTGATTCATCTGTTTGGAGAATGTGAACATTGTGAATGTGTAAGTGTTTGCGACTTCTGTAAGTGTTCAGACTCAGGGGTCAAAATAAGTGAGAGTTATAAATGAGGTTTATATTTAGCTGTTCTGGGTGTAATTAAGTCTGTCTGCGAAATCAGCTATCTCTAATTATACCTTTAATTGGGTTAATTTAGCTGGAGGAAAATAATTTTTCATACACAGCCTGTTGGCGCTGAATAAGAAAATGCTTATTAAATGTGTGGAAAAACAAGACTTTAGAGGTTATTTGTTCACTTAGGGTTGCTTTTATCTAAAATTAGATTTTGGTTCAAGGCCTCAAAGCATCCAATGCTATGATAAATAAAAGGCTGCATTTTTCTCAGCATTGGATTGTAGACATGGGAAAATATATCAGCTGTTCCCATGGACATTAATAATCCAACCCAGACTTTACATGTATATACACTACCATTCAAAATATTTTTTAAGAAATTAATACTTTGATTTAGCTAGGATACACTAAAGTGATCAAAAGTGACAATAAAGACATTTATATTTATTTTTATTATGAATAAATTTGCATGACTTTTCTAGTCATGAAAAAAAAAATTTGCACTTAATTTTATTTTAAAGCACATTCTTTTTTTAAGTAATTAAGTTGGCTTGAGAAAGCCAACTTACTGAAATACTAAAATTTCTGACTCTGATTTCTCCTAGAGCTTTAACTCTACAAACTCCAAACTCAGCCCAGCTTTTCAGACTGATCTCACTTAGTGTGCTATATCTTTTCTAACTGATACGACTTACAGTTTTCATAAAAATGAAGATTAAAAATCATAAAAATCTCATAGACTTACATTGACAGAATGTTCAGATGAGCCAAGACTATTCAAACTGTCAAAATTTTAATCTAAACACACTGAAGCCCATTATACTCAATGGACCCTTTTCACAAGACTGTGATGACGCGTTTAATGGTCATCAGCATCATAAATCCTCGAAAGTTTTTCATATTTGTATTTTTTTTTAAATGTATCTACATTTATAACACTGTTCTTTGTATTATATCACCTTTGCATCAAATTACAAAAAAACAGTTAACGCTAATGCGAGGGTGTTTCTAATGCAGCGTCTATGGGAGGGACGGTAAATTTGACATCGTTCTCTCTTCTGACAACCGTTAACAGTTCTCTCAATTTTTTTCCTTTTATTGAAATTCATGAAAAGTTGTTATTTTGCTATTTGAGCAAATGGGAATGCAAAAAATATATTTGTGGTACTCTCCCATTCACTGCTATTCAAGTTAACCCAACTATGACGACTTCCGCTGCAGAGAAACCCGGAAATGTGAAAAAGGTCCATCAGACTTCCATTCTATGTACTATTTCTAAGCCATTTAAACTCATTCAAACTTATCTATCACTGCTCTTCAAGTTAACCCAACTATGACGACTTCCGCTGCAGAGAAACCCGGAAATGTGAAAAAGGTCCATCAGACTTCCATTCTATGTACTATTTCTAAGCCATTTAAACTCATTCAAACTTATCTATCTAATATTTCTTATCATCTATCTATCTATCTATCTATCTATCTATCTATCTATCTATCTATCTATCTATCTGTTAGCAACATGATAGCAACATGCTAATCATGCTAGACACATGCTAGCAACAGGTTAATCATGCTAGCAACATGCTAGTAACTTGCTAAGCATGCTAGCAACATGCTAGTGACATGCTAATCACGCTAGAAACATGCTAGTGACATGTTAGTAGCTTGCTAATCATGCCAGCAACATGCTAGTAATGTTAATCATGCTAGAATCATGCTAGTAACTTGCTAGTCATGCTAGCAACATGCTAGTAACATGCTAATCATGCTAGTAACTTGCTAATCATGCTAGAATTGTGCTAGTAACATACTAGTAACCATAGATATGTATAGATACCCCATTTGACGGCTCCAGGCAGGCACGTAGATGCGGCCGCCATCTTGGAACGGTCAATTTGACGTCATTCACCATTCTGTAGGTTCTCACAGAGCCATTGAGTCGTTCTGTGCTGGATTGGGTGGATTGAATATTCAGTGATTACTATGGTGAATGATGTCAAGTTGACCATTACAATATGGCGGATGGCTTACGTATAGCGGCCCATAGAAACAGTCGCTAATGAGGCATCTATGTATATATATTTACATTTACATTTAGTCATTTAGCAGATGTTAAATGTTTGTTTGTTTTTTGTTGTTTTTTTAAATAAAAATTAAAATAAAAAAAATGAAAAAGAAGATAAATATAGATAAAGTAGAATTAAAATAGAATAGAAAGTGTTAGAGTTAGAGGGTCAAATAAAGGTGGAACAGATGTTTCTTGAAGATGGCTAAGGACTCAGCTGCTTGGATTGAGTTGGGCAGGTCATTCCACCAGGAGGGAACAGTTAATGAAAAAGTCTGTGAAAGTGATTTTGTGCCTCTTTGAGATGGCACAATAATAAGCCGTTCACTTGCAGAACGCAACCTTCTAGAGGGCACATAACTCTGAAGTAATGAATTTAGGTAAATGGGTGCAGAGCCAGTGGTGGTTTTGTAGGCAAAC